GCTGGATGAGGAGCTGACCAGCCAGCTCTGGGGCCAGGGCCTGCTGAAGGGCTCAAGGGAGAACAGGGCGGGAGGGGCTCCTGGGTCAGCACCATTTCAGGGCTTCCTCCCGGCGGGGCGCGGCCTGGGTCTGTCCTGCAGGGCGCCAGCTGGGGAGAGGGGTTCCCTCTGTTCGCTCATGGTCCCCTCATTGGGGATAAGCCACAGCCCTGCCCCCTTTACCTGCCCAAAGGCCGCCTGCACCTGGGCCTCCAGCTCCCGCAGCAGGAGCCGCCGCCTGGTGACTGCGTGGCTGGCAGGGGCCTGGCTGGGCCCCGCAGTGTCCTCAGAGGTCTTGGGGTCCCCCGGAGGGAGGCTGTCACCCTCTGGGTCCTGAGGAAGGGCCATGGAGACGAGGGCTTGGCCCCTCTTGCTGGCCGAGGGGCACCGCCCCACTCTGGTCTCCCCGGTCCTGTGGGAAGGGGCTTAGTGGCAGCGGTGGGCCCCTGCTTCTCTCCTCCCTGCCCCTCCCTCCATGCACTGGGGCCCAACCAGCAGGCATCTCTGTGCCTGGGCTGCCCCAGTCCCATATCCCATCTCTCCTAGCTCCCCAGGCCTCTCAAACAGCGCCTCGCTCCAATCCTAGCCTTCCCTTCCCCCCTCCAGCTTCCTGCTGGCCCCACCGCACCTGGGCCCCGCAGGCTTGTGCAGACCCGGCACCTGGCCCTGGGCTCCGGCTTCCGGACCTCCTGCGCCCACGCCCCTGTCTGCCCTCTGCTCATGGTGGTCTCTGTCTGCCTCTCCCGCAGTCCCTCTCTCCAGCCCTGCCCTGCTGGTATTTGCCCAGCGGGTCTGTGGCTCTCGGACCATCTCTCCGTCCTCCCTCCGTCTGTCCTCCCTCCGTCTGTTGCGTGGGGCCCCTCTCACAGTGGTCTTTCTGTCTGTCCGTCCTGGTTCTCCTACTCTCCCCACCCCTCCCAGCAAGGCTCCTGGGTTGTGGAAAGACAGGTCCCCCCAGCCTCACTCCACGCCCCTCCCCTCCTCATGGCACCCCCGCTGAGCCTCTGCTAACCTCCACCCTCCTGCTTCTCAGCGAACAGGAACAGGACGGGGGTGACCAGCAGCCCCCCTGCCTCTCATGCCCGTGTGTCCCCAGACCACTTACCACCCAGTGCCTGCTCCTCGTCTCCCGGAATGAGGTCAGCTGTCCTGTCGGCCCTGCTCCGGGCCCCTCATGATTTATTCACCTGCTCCTACCCCCTGGCTTTTGTCCGAGGGAACCAGATCCTGCCGGAGGCCTGCCACCTGAGCTGCTGGCCTGGCCGCTCTCGGCCACGCGTGCCGTCCATTCATGTCCATTCATGTATCCTCCACCAGCACCGAGGCCGGCTGAGACCCAGACCCCGGCTGGCTGCTGGGGCCGCACGGCACCCCCAGCGGCCCAGGGGCCCTGCTCGCAGGCACATCTCACGCAGAAAGGGGCCCACAGGCCACGTCTCCAAGTGCCTGGGGGGCTTCTCGGAGGAGAGGAGGGCATGGGGCGCCATTCTTGGCGTTGCTCACACGTTTAGCCTGGGCTTGGGGTCGGCTGTGAGCTTGGTGAGCTCTGTGTGCTGGAATCCGCAGGAGGGGTCAGGTGGAGGCCCTCAGGGAGGAGGGGGCAGTAGCCCCTGGAGAGGGCACGGGGTTGGGGACCATCTGAGGGGCTGAATCTTTAGCAAATGTTCCTGGAGCATCTGCGCATGCCTCCCTGGGACCCAGTCCCCGCCTCCCGGAACCTTCCACGGGGCGGGAGATGCATGTTCAGCAAACTGTGGAGGGGTCTGTGCAGGGAAGGACCCAGCAGGGTGCTGAGGGGGGTGGGGACCTGGCAGTGACGGGGCCTGTGGAAGTGACCCAGTGTGGGAGTGGCCGAGTGAAGGGGCAGGGGCCCCAAAGGCAGAGGACAGTTGCCACACAGCCCTGCGTGGGTCCGAGGGTCTGAGCAAAGGCCAGGGTTGAGAGGCGAGTGGGCGCGGGCCAGGTGGTCAAGGGCGGGAAGGGCTCATATGTCCCTTCACGTCGATCATTTGAAGGCTCAGCCTTCAGCAGCCTTCAGCACCTCTGCACCTGGGCCACCTCTTCCCAGAGGCCAGGCAGCACCGCCTCCCAGGCTCCCTCTTCAAGGCCGCAGGTGTGCGCCCTGGGCCACACCTTCCCCCACGCACTCGCTGCGGGACCCAGGCAAGGTTTCTCACCTCCCGGGGCCTCGGTTTCCTTCTCCGGACAACGGGGGTTGACCTAGTATCGGCCTCACGGCGCCTTTGTGAATATTAAATGGTAAAGGATCTTGCCGGTTCCTGATACACAGGAAGGGCTCAAAATATAACGGATGTTACATGTGATAAACGACTTCATGTCCGAATAACCACCTAAGAGGTGAGAAGTGGTGAGAAAGGGGCGCTCCAAATAGAAGCCAAAGCAGAGGGGGCCATCACTCGACAGGGTGTAGTGGGTAGGAGCACTCTCCATCGAGGGGCACAGCCTTTCTAGGTGAAGAAAGCCTGGCTTGGAAGTCCCTCCTGGCTCGTGTCCAATGAACAGCACCTTAAGGCACTCACGTGGGTGCCCTTGACTTGCCCAACCTGACTTAGCCAAGCTGAGGTGCCAGCTCCAGTGTCCAGGTGGATCAGTGGTTGACGTACAGGTGGAGGACGGGATGGTTGGGTGGACATGTGGGTGATTGGGTGGATGGGCGGATGATTTGACAGGTTGGTGTGTGAATGGTTGGTAGATGGAAGGATGGATGGATAGGTGAATAGGTAAAAAGGTGAATGGATAGATGGTTTTATTGGGTGGGTAGTTGGATGAATGGGTGGATAAATGGATGGGTGGATGTTTTGATGGCTTGCTGGTCAAATGTTTGGTTGTTGGATGGATGGACTATTGGATAGAGGGATGTATAGATGGACATAAAGACAGATGAGCTGCCGGTGAAGGTCTTCTACTCTTTATTAAAAGAGTCCATTAGGACTCTATCAGGAACCTGCAAGATTCTTTATCATTTAATATTCACAAAGGCACATTGAGGCAGATCTGACCTATTTCGGCGTCTCCCATGATGTCTAAGCCACACATTGCCTGATACATAGTAACCAGTATGTGAGTGAAGACTTGTGTCTGTCTATCTCCGCCCCCACCCCCACCCCGAGCTGTGATTCCTCTGATGACATTGATGACGGCTCCTTCTCCACTTGGTTCTCCCCAAGCCAGACCCAGGTTTGGCACCCGCTAAGCACTATACACAGTGCCAGGTTGGGATGGCACTTGGCACTTCCTAGGAGAGCTAGAGTGGAAAGGACAGGAATAGCTGCTGGTGAGGGCTCGATCCCAGTAGGATGCGTGTAGGAGGCAGTCGATCAATGAGTCCCTCTCATTACTGATGTTTCTATCTCCCTCTCCCTTTCCCTCTGAAATCAATAAAAATCTATTTTAAAAAAAGAAAGAAAGCTCATTTCCCCCAATGACTTAACTTCATAAACCTTTTCTAATGCCCCCTTCTAACTGTAACCTTGCTTTTTCCTTGGATGTCTCATGACATGTTTTTTCCCCCAACATTTACCTTCTGTCATCATCATATGTATAAATATCCTTATTTTCATTGTCTGCAATCTCTAAAAAGCTGAGCCTGCCTCAATCTCAGTGCATGATAGCGCCTGGCCCGTGGTGGCTCAATGGTTGAGCACTAACCATGCACCCAGATGTCGCTGGTTCAATTCCTGGTCAGGGCACATGCCTGGGTTGCAGGCTCGATCCCCAGTAGGAGGCATGCAGGAAGGAGGCAGCCGATCAATGATTCTCTCTCTCATTACTGATGTTTCTATCTCCCTCTCCCTTTCCCTTCCTCTCTCTGAAATCAATAAAAACATCCTAAAAAAAAAGAGAAAACTTCTTTCTTGCTGGAATTTGTGCCCAGCCTGACTGCCAAACCTCGTTTCTTTCCCAAACGGCCCCAGAAAATGCTCTCCGCTGTGCTCTGGACAAAGGAAGTGCTCATGGAACACGCAAACGTTAGTTAAATGTTAAACATCCTGATGGTCATCAACTCGAACGAGAACAGAGGTCACGTCCAACCCCTGGCCTACTTCCACCAGTGCTGCAGACGCGGGGGACGAGGTTGGGGTGAGCATGCACCATTGAG